CACAATAAAGATGAATGGATTTAGTGAAAATGCATTCAAGTTAAGACTATTCCCTTTCTCTCGAAAGATAAAGCTAAAGGGTGTCCGAACTCCAAGGCTCCTAAGTCATTCACCACTTGGAATGCCTTATCATAAGCTTTCTTGAGTAAATATTTCCAAATGTGCATTTGACTAACTTTTTGAAGATATGTAACACGATAAAGATGAATGGATTCGATGAAATTGCATTCAAGTTAAGACTATTCCCTTTCTCTCTAAAAGATAAAGCTAAGGGGTGTTTGAACTCCAAGGCTCCTAAGTCATTCACCATTTGGAATGCCTTATCATAAGTTTTCTTGAGTAAATATTTCCAAACGTGCATTTGGCTAACTTTTTGAAGATATTTAACACGATAAAGATGAATATATTCGGTGAAGATGCATTCAAGTTAAGACTATTCACTTTCTCTTTGATTCAAGTTAAGACTATTCACTTTCTTTTTGAAAGATAATGCTAAGGGTTGTTTGAACTTTAAGGCTCCTAATTCATTCACCACTTGGAACGTCTTATCACAAGCTTTCTTGAGTAAATATTTCCCTCCAAGTAAGACAAAAAACATAGAAATGATATTATTAGTTTTGTTTAGTTTGAAGGTGAATCGTTGTATGAAGCTTGGGAAAGATTTAAAAAACTATAAAGAAACTATCTACATCATGGTCAACTCGACTTCCTAATTGTGCAAACATTCTATAATGGTTTGACCAACTCGATCGGAATCACCATAGATGTAGTTGCAGGAGATGCATTGATGGGTAAGTCCACATAAGCAAATTACGAGTTATTGCAAGACCTTCGAAGTAGGCCATAATCGGTGTTGTTACTCGACATTTATAGGGTTCCAAAAAAAAAGAATTATTTTACTTATTTTTTATTTTATTGGTAATGTGAGTTAAATAATATTTTAGAGTTGTCATATAGTATTAAAAGAACTAAAAAATCTAAAAATAGCAATAAATTCGAGAGATTTTAGGATAAAAAGTTGGTTATGTTTTTGAAAAGATATCAATCATTCAAAAACACAATTTCGAGAAAACGTATCATGTCTCATTTAATCCTAAAAGTTTCTCTTTTCAAAATTTTAATTTTTGCTAAATTATTTTTTAGTCAACTTCAAACTTTATTACCTACGTCAAATTATTTTTTTTCATTTTTATTTGTGACATTATATGAAACCAATCGTCGGACTCCATCATTGAAAGTCTCGTCAATTCAACATCGGATCCGACTTTAGTCTCGATATAATCGATATGTCGGAGAATAACCTAATTACCGATGGTAATTAATTTGATTCAATTAATAACACCGGTTCCTATCGGATAGGAGACTTATTAAATTAATTAGCATTTTCTCTATTTCTCTTTTATTCTTTTTTTTATATATTATTTTTTATCATTTATTTGACACACTTTTTTTTTTTTTATGTTGGTGGAGGATCGTCATCAGTCTATAAAAATTAAGAGACTTAGCAACCTCTCCACTTATTAATTTCCTAATTAAACTAACAATTATTAAGCAATATTTACTATTAAATAAGTCAAAAATTAATTCACAAAACTTAAAAGATTAGACCCCATAACCTATATATAAGTCTAAAATCATTAGCCAAAATTTCATATTTGATTAATATTAAATAATAGAATAAACTGAAATTTGAAGCATTAGAACAATTAATAAATAGGTATAAAATTAAATAAATTAAAAATAACTACCCAAATGAACTTAAAAAATCCTAAATAAGCTATATACTGTCTGTCTTTCTCTTCTCCTCTCATTTTGTTCAAACCCCTTTTCTACTTCAAACCAAAAAACATGAATCCTATCCCCCGAGCTTTCAACAAACCTCCCTCTCTTTTCTGCTAAACCAGCTTCGAGTTAACCGTCAACCGTTGGGCGGCGGTCTGTGCAGTAGGAGAAGGAGCTGACTGTTGGGCCGTTGATTGGACAGTAGTACGACCAGGTTGTGGGGCCGTAGGTTGGACTGAAGGAGGAGCAGGTTGGTGAATCCATGGGCTGAGAGGCAAGATTGGCTTGTCAAGTTGCTGTTGGGCTTTAGCATTTTGATGGGCCGTGAGCTAAGTGGAGGAGGGATAGCCCGTGAGGTCAAGGGTATAATCTTCCATTCCTAAGGAATAATAAATAGATATATAAATAAAAATATCACAGTTCTAAATTCCGTGTGACTTGCAGAAATGCCTAAACTGTCATGGACATTTTTCGTAGCTGTGTGATTGACAATCTTCATGGTTCTTTTTTATTCCTTTTCTTTTGCATGCAATTCTTTTGATAAAGATGAAGATGAAGTTGGGAGAGAGAGGAGGAAAAGAAAATATTCGAGGCGGGAGAGTTGGAAAAATGGTTTTTGTTTTTCAAAAAGAATTAAAAATAGGGTTACAGGAAGTACAACGTGGCGGGTACATCATTGTTGTAACTAATTCTTGTGAAATTTGCTTAAAAAATACCATTGCTTCTTTTTTCATACACCACCACCTTAATTTTTAAGAACCACCCACGATTAAAGAAACAAAATCTTCAAAACTACTAGACCAAAAGATACTCGCTAAAAAACCATTTACTTCTAGCACACAAAAGCTCGTAAAAACTTTATAGAAGGTCATTATAGTCATTAAGTCTCGGCATCTCAAGAGACCAATTAGTTATTTACTAATTTTTTTGCCTATGCTATGATGCGTGTTGGATAAAAAATATAAAATTATTTAGAAAAATCATTATAGTTTGATAGTCTGCTTTTATGGTGTAAATTTATAAAAATATATGAAATCAACTGTGAAGAAAACTTATTTATAATTTTTTAATAAAAAATTTTATATTTAACTATTTCTTATTTGTGTTTTTCATAATTTTTCCTTCGGAAAAAGGATTTATCCTTGTTAATCCATGGATTATTAATTAAAAAGAAAATTAAATAATTTTTTTAAAAAAAGATTTAGTATATCATAAGATTGTGTTTAAAAAAATAAATAACAATTATTAAAAGCTTACATAAAATTGAACAAATAATTTTTTTTTATTTGATGTTGATGTGAATATCAATTTTTTCAAAAAATGTGAATTTAATTTTTATATATTTATTTTCAAAAGAATGAATAATATTAAAATAAAAAACTATATTAATTTCACTTTCAACTATTAATTAATTAATTTGAGTTTTTTTCTAAAACAAAATTGAGAAAAAATTATTTGAAATACACTTTTAATATAAAAATATATTTTAGACAAATTATGTATATTAATCATGCCGCTATATTTAAAAGTTATCTAAATCTATTTTTCAAAAGAAAAAATAATCATGTTCTAAAAATTTATTCCAAAATCCATACATATAGATAAATAAATCAAAATTATCAGTAAATATAATTTTAAATTAATTGGATGAGAATTTTAAAAAAATAAAAAATTAAAGTAGTAAATTTTAAATAATAAAAATAATTAACAAAAAACACTAAAAAAAATGGGACCAAATCACAATATAATCAAAGTTTGAAATTGAAAAAAGAAAAAGAATTTTAAAAAATGACAAATTAATGTAGTAAATTTTAAATAATAAAAAAAACCAAGAAAAAATTATTTGAAAAACACTTTTAATCTAAAAATGTATTTTAGACAAATTATATATATTAATCACACCACTATAATTTAAAAATTATCTAAATCTATTTTTAAAAAAATAATAATTATGTTCTAAAATTTATTCCAAAATCCATACATATAGAAAAATAAATCAAAATTGTCAGTAAATATAATTTTAAATTAATTAGTTGATAATTTATAAAAATGACAAATTAAAGTAGTAAATGTTAAATAATAAAAATAATAAAAAAATGGGATCAAATCACAATATAATCAAAGTTTGAAATTGAAAAAAAAAAGAGAATTAAAAAAAAGACAAATTAATGTAGCAAATTTAAAATAATAAAAAAAAACTAAGAAAAATTATTTGAAATACACTTTTAATCTAAAAATATATTTCAAACAAATTATATATATTGATCATGCCACTATAATTTAAAAATTATCTAAATTAAAAAAAATGATCATATTCTAAAAATTTATTTCAAAATCCATACATATAGAAAAATAAATCAAAACTATTAGTAAATATAATTTTAAATTAATTGGACGAGAATTTAAAAAAAAATGACAAATTAAAGTAGTAAATTTTAAATAATAAAAATAATTAAAAAAAATACTAAAACAAAATGAGACCAAACCACAATACAATTAAAGTTTGAAATTGAAAAAAAAAGTATAGAAAAATTGAGGATCAAAGTGTTACAAAAATACTATAAATAATGAAAGGAATAGTGATTTGCAAGTGTGTGAATAATGATTTATAAATGTATAAATAGTGTTTTAAATAATAAATGAATTGTAAAACCATGTTTTACTTTAGTTTTATTGATAATACTCTCTTTATAATATAAAATAATTAAATGGTTATTTGACTCGAGTAGTTGTTTTTTTTTTCTTCAGAAATATCTTCTTTTGTAATCAAATATTTATTGATCTCTGAAACCCCGTTATTATAAAAAAATATAAAATAAATTAAAAAAGAACATGAAAATTGAAGATTTAAAGTGCTGGGATTAAACACACAGATTCTGAAACCCCAAATATTAATTAAGTAGTTTTGTTGAAATTACTGGGATGATTAACTGAGGGACCAATAATCCCCAACCGCACTTTCTCCAATATTTGACCTCTGGACTTGGAGTCCAGCCCAGCAAAGCACAAAGACAGAGAGAGACAGCAGTCTCCCCCATTTCCAACTCACTATACCAAAACAGTCAAACGCATTTTTTAAAGATTTCACAGAGATCTCATTAAAAATAAAAATAAAAGGAAGAAACGCCCTCTTTTTTCTCCCTCTTTGTCTCTCCATAGCTTCCTTTCTTTCTTTGAAGCAAAGCAAGAAGATTAAAGGTAGCGTGTGACAGTTAGTAATGGCAGGTTACAGAGCTGAAGATGACTATGATTACCTGTTCAAGGTTGTTCTTATTGGTGACTCAGGTGTGGGAAAGTCCAATCTGCTTTCAAGATTCACTCGTAATGAGTTCAGTTTGGAGTCTAAGTCTACTATTGGTGTCGAGTTTGCTACTCGCAGCTTGAATGTTGATGGCAAAGTCATTAAGGCCCAGATTTGGGACACTGCTGGCCAAGAGAGGTCCGTTTTCTGATTTCTTTCCTTCTTTTATGTTTCTTTTTGGTCTTCTGATCTGGGTTTCTTTGCTTTGCAAGTTATCTTTCTTGTTTTTTGTGATCTCGTTATGCTGAGTGTTTTGTTTGTTTTTCAAGTTATTGAGTTTTTCTTTTTGTAATTTGTTATATGGGTTTTTATTGTTTCATGGGCTTTTTGTGTGTTATTCAAGTAATTCTCTGTTTTGTGATCCGGCTCTTGGTTAAAAGCTTTTTGTGTTTCTATGAAAAGTGAGGAAAAGAATAGTGAATTAGGTTTTGGATCTTGTAAGTTTATGTTGGAGATTTGTAACTGAAGAAGTTTTGCTTTGCTTTTAAGATAATGACCTTGGTTATTGATGGATTTGAACTTAGATTCGCAACCTGAACTAGTGGATCTTGACATTCCGCAATTTTTACAGGCTTTCTGTGTTTATGCTGATTTTATATCAAAAGTTTTGAGAATGTTTTGAAATGGAAGGGAGTTTAGTCACTGCAATTTTCTTTGTATTAGTTGTTGGTTGATGGCATGCAGAAGGTTGAAATTTTTGAGTTGCAGTCAGGGAGGTTTCTGAGTTATTACTCTAGGTTCGTTTGCATATAAGATAGTTTTGGCTAGTTTAAGTTGTAGATTAATTGCGCATACAATCTGTAATTGCTTTGGTGAATTTGTCTATGGTGTGTGTTCTACTTCAACTTTCTTCAACCAGATCTGCCTTGACTTCTATTTTACAGTCACATTCATTTAGCATGCATTTCACTGATTGTTGTCAACATGGATTTTGTTGCGTATCACTATCATGTGCTTTGTCATGCATAATTGAACCAAGTACTTGTCAATGTTATCTTGTCACCAATTTGCATCATCAGCTTCTTCAAAATCCGTACTTCCAAACGTGCCAATTAATTTATTGGTACAGTCTGTTAGAGATGAAACCAAAGACCTCTGTTAAAGATTTTCTTAGATCTAAGGCACCATCTCTACCTCCTAACTACTAACAAGCCAGCTATAGACTTACTCTGCTCTTTAAAGTTTACTTCCTCAGTTCTCACTGTCAACTATTCTTTCTTGTGATGACCCATTTTATCTATTTGCTTTCAAAATGAGGTAAATGGTAATATAAACATTCTAAAAATTATTTTGATTAACCACATAACTGTTTTCAGCTAAAAGTGTAATACTCCTTTTGAATAGGAGGACAGTGTTGAAAATATATGCTGAAGACAAAGTATAAGAAAAAATCAGTCTTCTTATAAATTGGCATAAAACTGATTTGAGTTTTTGGATGGACCATGGTTGAAATTGAAGGAAATCAAAGTTCAAAGTGTCCTTGACAGATGTGTTAGTTGGCTTCCCAGACTGCACCTTATCTATTTTGTTGATCAACATGTGCTATCTAATTGATAGATATAAAAAAATTATATTAACAATGGCATTTATTGATGATCTCACACAAAATGTAGAGCTCATGCCATGCTATGGTATCATTACCAAGCACCTGTCCTTTGACGTTTCTGTGACTCTATGTATCACACACAGCATCATAATTTCATCTAAAGAAAGTTGAAAGCTTTTTGCGGTATCCATGGGCAGCATGCCTGTATACCTTTGGGTAATCTATTAATGATAGAAAGGAAAAGGTTGAGGTAGTTTCCTGTTTTATGCTTTTGTAGCAGTGATATTGATGCAATGGTTGCATTATTGCATTTTAAAGCCAAATAAACGGCCTGTATACTCTTTTCTCAGTTAAAATTGTGGTGGCAGTGAATGGTGATGTGATAAGGTTGTATTAAAATGGAATAAACAAAATGGTTGCTAAGTGACAGAAATTTAGCTGCTTGTTCTTATACATCCCACGTTCATGCTGTCTAGATAGTAGCCATTATGGATATTATGTTAGGAAGTTTTTTTTTTTTTTTCCCCATTGGTAGCTCCTTTTCTCCCTACTACCATACATCTTAAACTAATTTCTAACTGAATTAATTAGATACTGTTAAGTGCTACCTTATGCTTCAAACATCAACATCCCAACTATTTCATAAATGTTTAAGATAAAATTCTGAACATCTTAATTATAGTTTTGCAAAATATTGTTCGATCTATTTGTATATTCTATAATTTTGCACTTTTAAGCTCATAGATGCTCAGTTTAGTGTAGATATGCATTTGTTTTACATTTTCTTCTGCTGTAAATTTTTATATATAGGTATTTTGGGTGCCTATTATTTATATGTTAAATTAAGCTTAGATCTCTTTCCTTAAAACTGGTATTGGCCAAAAAAAAAAAAAAACTATTAGCTAATGTATGGTTTAAAGACAAATAAACTGAGTTTAATACTTCCAATTTTATATGGGTGTAATTTTGAGAGTAAATTGTGCAATTTAACTAAAAACCAATAGAAGCATATAAATAGAAAGATTAGAATGACATTGGGGGCATTGATATGTGTTGAGGGCTGGGCCTGCAGACTGCAGTTGTGCAGTACCACTGTAGATGATGTCATCATCATAACCAATGTCTATGTTAGCAAATTGCTGATGTCAACATTTTGCTAATGTGTTGATTACCATTTTGCCAATATCAAGGACATGAACAGTGACTGGTTTGTAGATGTCAACATTTGACATTTCACCTGTGATGGTGTTGTAAAATCACAGGTGTTGCCATACTTAGCATTATTCATAGAGTTTATAGTTCAATTTACATGTAACTACAAATTTAAGAAAAAATGAAATCCTGAATATGAAAATTAATAGAATAATATAGCAATTTACCCATAAAATTTATTAGACAAATAAAATAGAAGTACTAATAATAATCATTAGAGCTCAATGTAATTAAAAAAGATATATATAATGTAAGAGATTACCTTTTAACTTAATTCTGAAAACGTATATAAAGAGGCAATTTTTTAGGTTTAAAATTGCAGCCACAGCTAATAAACAGTTAAAAGACAAGGATCAAAGCTCAATTTAACATGAGACTTGAAATATTTGGCATGCAAAAATGCTATGATATTTGACTTCAAAGATACAGATTAAAAAGAAAAGAAAAAAAAAGACTAAAGACAATTGTACATAAGAGCTTAGATTTGCATGAGCATACACTGATAAATCTTGCAAACATATAACGCAAAGGTAAAGGACCTTAAATATTCAAGAAATAAGGTTAAAAATCTAGCTTAAATCTATCTTTTTATGTTGAAGGACCATATCATCTACCCAACCTCAAGTAGTTTGAAATTGAATAATCTGTGTTTGGTATTATTAAACAACCTTTTCCCTTGGAATTGAATAGCCTGTGTGTTTCATTTAACGATGAGGTACCAGAAATTGCAAATCCAACACTAAAATGTAACAAAAAATTGGCAAAATGGTTCATTTGAAACACATTGCCCTGCTTTTGACAGTTTTGTATTTTACTAAGCTTTGAGTAGGAGTAACTAAAGCTTAATTGTTTTTACTACAGTTGCTAATCTATTATCACAAGTGACTTCACAATCTACAGCTTCCTTTCACACCATGACCATGCTGTGGTGTTATCAAAATCAATCTGTTGTTGCCTGGGAAGCTAAAAATATTTGTTGAGGATCTTTACTGGTTCTTAATCATTCACCACTGTAATGATTAAGTTATATGAGTTGTATGATGGTTTATCTTCCTAAAGCAAAGCAGTCTAAGGTGTGCTAAAATTGGTTTTAAGTTGGTTTTCCTTTGAAGTGACTACCATATGGCATGTGGATGTGGATCTGGAACAACTTGGCAGAACATGACATTGATGGTTAAGTGATTTCCTGGTCTTTTCTTTTCTCTTTTTTTTTTTTTTTTCCTGGAAATTAATTACTTGGGTCTTTGGATAGTGATTGCTAAGTATTGATTCCCTAATATAGAATAGAGTATGTTTATATAGGATCGACATCTGATCTTAGGACAACCATGCATAGCAGAGAGAATTATGAGGCTGAATGTGTAGATTATCATTAAAGCATTTGCTGTTATGCCTCTATAATGAGCTCATAGATGTCAATCCTGGTTGACACACAGTTTTTTTTCCCTTTGGGTTGCAATGACTTTTGCTTTTGCAATTTATACTTACAAACTCTGTGAATCATGTACTGCCTTTTCTTCCACTAACGTTCTCTGTACTTATTGTTTGTCTTTATAGGTACCGTGCCATAACTAGTGCTTACTACCGGGGAGCAGTGGGTGCACTGCTTGTGTATGATGTTACCCGGCACTCAACATTTGAAAATGTTGAAAGGTGGCTTAGGGAGTTGAGGGATCATACAGATCCTAACATTGTTGTCATGCTCATTGGCAATAAATCAGATCTCCGCCACCTTGTGGCTGTCTCAACTGAGGATGGAAAATCCTTTGCTGAGAGGGAGTCCCTCTACTTCATGGAAACATCTGCTTTGGAAGCTACTAATGTTGATAATGCATTTGCTGAAGTGCTTACTCAGATCTATCGCATTGTGAGCAAAAAAGCTATGGAGACTGGTGATGATGCAGCTGCTTCGGCTGTCCCTTCCAAAGGTGAGAAAATCGATGTCAGTAAAGATGTTTCTGCTATAAAGAGAGTAGGGTGCTGCTCGCAATAGGATTTTAATGTTATTATTATATTGTTAAGGAGATGTAGCTGGTTTGATTTGCTGCGTCTGTTTCTATGTACACCATTATCGTGTAAAATTTTCTCAAAGATGCCAACAGTAGGAGATCCGCGGATTGCTTTTATTTTTATCCTAAAAGTTTTTTTTTTCTGGCTGTTCTAGCTGACAAAGAGCTTAATTAGGAATGAGGCATTACACTCGTCGTTTTCAAAATGGTACTGAATGGAGCTCAATTTGCATTAAATTATATGTGTAGTTGTATTGTTGTTTAGATCTGTTTATAAATATTTGTTCAAGTGTCCCAGCCAATTACCTGGTTGATATGGTTTTCCGAGGTCGTGTACATCTTGATTCAGGGCTATGGAAGGTTCCTTAATGTTCTACGCACAATTTTCCGCCTGAGAGGGTTGGGTTATTTTATGTTCTACACACATTTTACCACTAGAGAGGGTTCGAACAAAAGGATAAGAACCCTCTGGTAAGAGGAGAGAAAAACAAAGCAAAGCATTTATAACACGCCTCGTGATTCTTTCAATAAAAGCTTACTGAACTATCACTAGTGGCGGAGCACGGTGGTTTTTACTCATGGCCAACGAATACTTGGTGTGAGTTTTTACTGGACCAACCTTCTCAGGTGGTATCGTAGACATGATTGTTATTATTTTTCACCCTAATGATAACATTACATGTTGTTATTATTATATAATGTTGTTATTTGATGTATAATTGTTGTTATTTTTTTAATGTTTTTTATTTTATTATTTTTGTGTGATATTCGACTATTAGAAATATTATTAATTTTTTATTTAATAAATTTAATTATTATTGTATGATGTTACATTATTAGAGATGTTATTATTATTTTTAATTAATAAAATTATTAAAAATATAAGAATTACTTACTAATGCGTTTATGATATTGATTATTGTAATTGTTATTTTACTATAACGATAAATCGTGACTTGCAATTGTTTGACATAATGTGTGTATGATTTAATCCCTTAATCCTTCGATACATCTCAACCGAGTATTTCTCCTTCTCAATTCTCTCTTTGTGTGTTTAGTATATATGATTTAATCCCTTAATCCTTCGGTTTTGAAAAATGTAAGTTATATGATTTTGATCAAAGTTGATTGTTAATTTTTATTTTTAGTTTTTTGGAATTTCTAAAGTACTTTTTTTCAATGTATTTTTAATTTTATATGTAGCAGGAGAGATTGGAAAATTTTAGGTACAAATAAAGGATATTCTAAGTAAAAACAATTTAACTGTGATGAAAACCAACAAAATAATAGGTTATAATCAAATACATAAAGACTCCATATTGGGGTTTTTTAAATCAAAAGGGTTAACTAATTATTTTATTGGAACACAAATATTGAATAATAATTTAATATGAAAAGTTCCAAACAATTTTAATGAGACATTATAATAGTGTTTGAATTTCCTTAAGTTGCAGGTCTTTAAGCAAGTCGTACATTACTAATGAACTTGAAATAATTTGATAAACAGTTACCGTTCTTATGCTCACACTAGATTGGAAATTACTCTAATTCTAGTCTATTGGGTTAAGTAACCTCACTTTCACGAGGGGATTCAAATAACATGAGCAAAATTTCCAAATGGAATGAAAGTTACAATTCACAATCAAGTTATACGATCATAAAAAATTAACGTGTCAGTCAAAACTCTATTGGTATAGCGTACTCCCTACTGTAATAAAAAAAAAATAAATAAATAAAGGAAAACTACACAAAACATCTCGCTCTCCATTGACAAAAGAGCTTTTTAGATAACATTCAATCTAATTTAATATTGAAACGGAGGTAACAAAATAATTAATCCTACATCAATATATAAAGCTGAGAATTAACTGTTGACCCATAAAACTTATTATTTTTTTTTAATGGAATCAATTTAATATTATCTTATATGAATTTGGTATCTCGCTCGAGTTTAGTCAAAAAGCCCTTTCTTGTCAATAACTAATTATTCTCATGCCACTCTGAAAATCCATGCGCCAAAGATTTTGTTTGACATAAAAGGGTTGGCATGTTCGATTACTGGTGTTGATTTAACTCTTGAACCGTGGTAGCTTAATGATGATCCACGTTTTGCCGTACCAATTAGAGAAATCCAATGGCTTTGGTACCAATTTTTGCTGGTACACACCTGTTGCTCTCATTATTATTATTATTTTCCTCTTTATCATGATTTACCATAGTCCATGATGGGTTATGATGCATGAAATTCAGGCTAACATATGAGGAAATGATTGATATATATACATATATTATGCAATTTGATATCTATTATAATCATTCGTATAGTATCCATATATACGAAATTTTTTACGAATACATTTTACGTGATCCATTGAAATCAATTAGAGCAAACTTAGCTCCAATGTGTGACTTAGTTCAATAATATCCTTATCCTTCAAAACCCAAAAATAAATATCCAACTCTGAAAAAAAAAAAAAAAAAAAAAAAAAAAAACACCCTTTGAGCTGGGGTTTATCATTGCTACATAAAAAATAATAATAATAATAATAAATAAAATAAAATAATAATAATATTGTAGAAAATAATGGCTAACCTGGTCTAACCTCATTTAAATTTAAAAGGCATTTGGTATGCGGATTCTTAAATAGTTTTTTAAAATGTGATTTCGAGAATGTGATTGTTGTGAATGTAATTTATGTATTTGGTTGAAAATTAAAAGTATTGTTAATGTATTTTTATTTTGTTATGTTTGTACTTGAAAATTTATTGGTAACGTAAACAAGTTGACCATTTAATCTTAAAATTTAAAGTATCTAACTTGATAATAAGATATTTATCTATGTGTTGTGCGTTCTTTTGTGTCAATCTCAATTAAAAGACTTTGAAAGAAAAGGTTTATAACATGGTTGGAAAACAGTTTGCAAAACAATTCATTTTTCAATTTTTGAATTAGACGGCTAAGTTTGTCAAGCAAGGCTATCCTACTTTTATTCCTAAAGATATTTAAATGCTAAAAAAAAAAACTATTGCTTACACCGAAATGCAACAACCTAAAAATTCCTTGAAAAAGGATTCCAAGACATCTCAGTTGCAATATTAGAACACAAGTGTATTGTAAATACAATGACTAAAAACTAATATTTAAACAAGTATACAATCAAGTAATTTAAAACTAATTACAAATATATAAATTACAAATTACAAAGTTAAACAAAAACTGAAATTGACATACACTAGATCGAAGTTCTCTACAAATAACAATAATTTTGAAAATATTGAAACTTACAAACATAGAAATTAATGAACAAACGCAACCGAACTCCAAACATTGAGAGAAAATCTACATATGATACAATGAAAGTGAAAACCGAACTAGAAATAATCTACTAGCCTACTATTATTGCTTATAATTATTGTCTACTGATTACTCGTTTATCGATTACTACCTACAAACTATAGCCTATTGAGTTTCGTGTATGAAAATGATTTGAGGGATAACGCCGATAATTTGCAATAGTATTGTTGTTGTATGTGTCTATCATATGTCTTTATTACCTAATTGCAACTGATATTTATGGAATTTCTATTCTTCTATATCTTTTTTAATTGACCACATTCTTGAGTTGCAAAATCTCATAACTTCCTATCTCAATTTGCAATGTTCTATATTTCCTTTGTGTTGCAATTCTCCAGATCTTCTGGCATTTCTGCTCATTTGTTGCAACATTCTCACATTCCTCTAATTTCTGACTCGTGCTCTAATTTGTTTGAATCAATTATTTTTCTTGTTAGTCTTTTCTTTTGAATATGACTTGACTTTCCACATTTTTTGTCCATGTTACAATTCTACTTGAAATGCAGCGAGTCACACTTTTGGTTTCTTTTATGAGTGAGCTTACTTTGTGGGCTTGATATCAGGTACACTAGTTTTTAATAACCAATGGCATGGGCTTTGTGACCAAATCCTCTTTGGCTTTGTTAGACTGTCATGCCCCAATCAAAATCAGATGTAACACTATGCTTTTTTTTTTTTTAACTTGATATTAAAAAATATTCATCTATATTTTTTAATAACTAGACTTGTATTAATTTGTGTTTAAAAAATATTTATCTATATTTTTTTAATATATAGATTTGTATTAATTTGATTTTAAAAATAATATATTGAAATGGATTCAATAATAGATTTATTTAATAAAATTATATTTATCTAGTAAAATAATATATCTACCAACAAATTACATAACAAACATAATATATTAATTATTTTAGTATCAAATTATAGTCATTATTAATTTTTTAAAATTTATATTCTAGTTTATATACATATACTAGTCACTTAAAATATTTATGTAATTATTAAAAAAAAAAAAGAATATATTGAACAACTTAATAGAAAAGATGAGAGCATTTAATTTTTTTTATTTTTTTTAAAAAAAACAACAACAACAATGCAAAAACCCTTTACATCTCAAAAATTTCTCGTTTTAAAAGGGAACTAGCTTCCTAGATTTGCTAGCATCTAATGTCCTAGAACATGTGAGATTCTATAGAATTTGGAATGTCTTGACTTATCAAACACTAAAAATTAGGATGAGTATTATTCGATGTAAATCAAAAAAACCAAACTTGAAATATCAATTCGATTCAGTTTTTAATAAAATTTAATTTTTAAAAATGCAAACTCGAATTAATTAGGGTTACTTAGTTTTGGTTTGGTTTTTAAAAATATGAATTTGGTTTCAACCAAAAATCGAGCATATATATACCTTAAAGAAAAAACAAACACACCCATTAATTCACTAAAAACTCATATAGGCATACATAGTTCCTCTTTCTAATAAGAAATTTTATGATATTCAAACAATAACTACCAATACATATTCTATAAGAAAGCAAGATAGACACAAAGAAGAAAAAGAAATAGGAGAGAAAAAAATTAAAAAATAAAATTTGAGTATAGATGAAAATATTCTTATTATTTTTAGTAAGTTTGGATGTAATTTTCTCTCTTTTTTTTTATGTCTGTCTTTCTCCTCAAAATAATTTTATAAAATAAATATTGATAATTACTTTTCTAATATTTTAAAATTTCTTTACTGACTTTCTCTATAATGAGAAGAAAAGAAAATGAAAAGAAAATGCTTACACCAATTGTATACTATTAAATGGAGTTGAATTGGAGTGTTAATTTAAAAATAAAAAACTCATATGTTATACTGTCAACTCTTGCCTTTTAAAAATTGGAAACTCATAGGTTATGCTATCAATTCTTGCCTTGGCTTCTCCAACATAATCTAACGCGTCATATTAAAAAAAAAAAAAAGAAGAAAGACATGAAAACACTATAAATTTATTATTGTTTCTTTTTATATTCATCCTCTCATAAAACACTCGTGCATTCGAGTGGTATTTTTATGATTTTTAACAATGATATTTTGTAATGTCCATTTTTTTAAAGGCAATATGTAAATTTTTACGTATATTGCACTTTGATCTTTAATTTTTTCAGAAGTTTGTTTCTATTTCGAACATCATTTGTATCAAGATTTAGTCTTTAATTGTAGCAAACAGAGAGAAATGGTGGTAGAGAAGGTAAGAGAGAGAAGGTCACGACAAGTCTCATTTTGGCAACTATGGCTCTCGATTTTGTATTCAATTTGTTTGTCTTGAAGATGCATGAGAGTTTGTTTTTTTGTCATAAAAAAAAGGTTGAAAAAGGTAGATTGAAATTCCAAAATATTTTGAGTTTGATTTGGTTTTTTGTATGTTATATACATTAAAATAGTTTTTGAGGTTCTAAATGAGTTTATTGATCATATTTTTGCATAAAATGACATTGTATTTGGATTGAAGAGGCTAAAAATTAAGAACCCAATTTTTGGGTGAAATTTCCAATGTCCTTGAGTTTGCCAAAAATTACAGAAAAATGACACATCGTCTGTTGGATAGTAAGCCAATGACATGTTGTCTACTTTCTATTTCTTCTCTCTCTCTCTCTTTCTCTCTCTCTTAAATCTTGTAGTGGGGCTTGGTTCCCCAGGACCAACCGCGTGTGCCATAGCTTTTTTTTTTTTTTAAATAATTATTATGGATTTTTGGGTAAAAATTATTGAAGATTGATCATTATTTTTTGGATTTTTTAACTCATTTTAGTGAGGAAGAAATATATATGATATGTTTTCATAATTAATGTATATTTTAAATTATATTACTCTTGTTATTTAAAATTTATTCATTCAATTTGTCATTTCTTATGGAAATTCTAATATGATTAATTTAAAATTATATTTATTAATGATTATGATTTATTTTTCTCAATGTATAGATTCTAGAATAAAATTTAAAAACATAATTATTTAAAAAAATAAATTTTTATAATTTATACTATGGATTCTTAAAATTTTTAAATCATAGTAGAATATATATACACCTTTTAGATTAAAAGTATTTTTCAAATAGTTAATTAAAAGTCGAAAGTCGAATGCCAAAAAAAATGATTGCTCTACATGTGACCAAGGTGACCCACTACTGCATAACTAAACCATTCGAATGCTTTGATAAGTTTTGTCGTAAAATCATATGTGGTGCCATCAGAAGGGAAAAAAAACAAAAAACAAACAAAACAAGTTTACTAGTATATGTACTTTTCCACATGAAAAAAAAAAAAAAAAAAAAAAAAAAAAAAAAAAAACCTTTTACGAATATTGGGGTGTACGTAGTTGAAATATCGCCTGCACTAGTACATAGTTGAAGTATCTTGTCTTAAGACCCTTGGTGAAAAGAAAAAGAAAAACCACAACGGCAGATCAAATAATAAAATACCTTCTTTTTTCTTTTTTGGGTACTTATAGGGAACAAATGACTACTACACTTTCATTCCATTGCATATTATGACTAATTTTCTTGTTAGAAAATGACCCATTCCAACATATTATAACTCAATTAATCTTAATAAATTTGCCCAACTTCATATATACTGGTTTAGGCCATTTGGCCTAAGGAAGGATTCTATAGCACAATTTTGGGCCACTTATATTACCATCAATAATTTTAAAACAGATCTAGCTAATACCCAAAAAAAAAAAAAAAATTTCAATGTTTTTTTTTTTTTTTTTTGGTAAAAACAAAAATTTTGATTTCAAAAACAAAAAACCGAACCATTATTTGGTTCAAGTTCAGTTAGTAAAAAAACCGAATCAAAATAAGCAAAAAAAATAAAAAAACTGAATATTATTCTTAACTGAAATGCTAGGTATCTCAAATGACTTTATGGAACCTCAAACATCCTTGTACCAAATACGGACTTAAAGTCATTTGAAAATTAATCTTTGTGCTCTCAATTTTAGTTTTAACCTCCCTATACTTTGGTATATTTGAAATCAAGTATTTCTATTTTTTTTCTAGTTTCCTCTCACATTTTGCATATAAAACTAATGAAATGACTTAAATACTCTCAATTTCAAAAACCTTTAACCTAACTTATCAATTTTATTTATTATTATTATTATTATTATTTATTTTTCTTTTTTGCAGAGTTAATTTCAAATTCAGAAATAAAATTTTAATAATATAACTTTAATTATCTCTCTAGAAGTTTTGATTTTAATTAAAAAAAAGAAGAAGAGATTTTAAGGTAGTGGTGTTTTTAGACAGAGAAGAAAGGTTATTTAGGCTACTAGTAAAAAAAATAAAAAAAAATTAAAACCTATATATATATATATATTTTTTTTTTTTTGTGGAGAATTAAAATTATGGTACTAAAATTTAAAGTTACACATTTATTTTCAAAATTTAAAACTAATTTTATAAAAAAAACTAAAAAAAATAAAAATAAATTGGATTGAAGATTATTGAAGTCGAAGGCATTTAAGTCATTTCATTAGTTTATACGTAAAATATAGAAAAAAAAATCCTTGAAAAAATAATATAAAGATTGGATTTGAAATAAATCAAAGTATAAAGAGATCAAAACTAAAACTAAGAGGACGTGTAATAATTCTGAAATGAATTTAAATTCGATGGAAGTTTGGGTAGTTTAGTCAAAAAGTAATTTGTAGCTTCTGGTGGTTGCTCTTCTGTCCGGCTTTCCACCATTACTAAAATGAAATTACAGAACAGTGAAACATGCATGAGAATGAGATTGATTGATTTGTTGGACTATAATTAAGATGAAAAACAAAGAATCAACAATATCCACAGAAATTGAATAGGATATTACTTTTGAAAGTTACGTAAATTTAATAGGCTGTTGGCAATATGTCGTTTTTTGCATTATAAAACTGTCCTTGATATAGAACAACATTTGACAGTCGGCATGTTGTCATGAGTTTGAGGATTTAGCTAAAATTAAATTTGATATATAAATAGAAATCTTGCACTCTTCTTCTCTCTTCATAATAATAGATTATGCCAACACCGGCCAGCGCTAGCTATCAAAATTGGGTTAAAATCCACTGCCATGTCCATCAACTCATCAATAATGCAATTTGTTATACCATCAGAAAATATCAAATTTTCTTCATCTTATACATTCAACAGCCAGAAATTTGTATTTTTTGTCCTTCACAGAATATATATACCACATACCCAGTGGATAGATGACCTCAATCAATCAAGTCCCTTCATTCACACCCCTTTGATGTCACCACACAAAAACATAACACTCGAATCTCCAACTTATGCCTCAATATCGGAAGTTTCAATTGCCAGCCTTGGTACAATTATAATCTAATTTTTCAGCATACGTAGGAATATTGTCTGTTAACATGTCACTTCTCTAGATATTAATGAATTGACAACCTAATATATATATATATATGCTCAAATGTTTCACAGATCTTGATAAACCCCACAAGTTAAATATATGGATTTTGCTCACAAAACATGTATCAATCCCGTGTGTAGGAAAGATTGTAATAGGTCCACTAAAGGAATGTGTACCTCATGTGTCCATCAAAAACGTTGTCTCGGATAAAATAGAAGGAACTTTTTTGAAGCTTAAAAAATGTCACAAGCCAAAATGGTTCAGGTTCCCTAAACTTTTGCATCTGATATTTAAGGCACGAAATTACAACCTTTAGTCGTGCTAGGCCACGATATCTCTATGATTGCATACAGCCATACACGTCTTTGTCATTGTACCCACCATCACCATCCCTTGCATTAGTCCCCCCTCCTAAAAATGTTGTGGACATCTCATTTTCACCAATCTCAAACTTGCTTATCTTGTTACAATTCTCTCATTTTGAAACTACATTTTTGTTTTTTGTTTTTTTTTTGTTTTTTTTTATCAAATGGATATCTCTAAATCGGCATCTACATCATCTTCACCGTCACCTAATTCATTGCCTGAGTCATCTTCCTCTCCTCAAAATATTCAACTAGTGTCGAAGTCTGTTTCGGACCGACTCCTCGACAAGTTTTTCGATGCAACTGAGTTTGATTTTGATTATGAGCAAAGTGGATTGTGGTCTCCTCCCATTAGAAGAAGTGCATTCATAAGCTCACCGGGTAGGATATTCACTGAAGAGGAAATGATTCAAAAACTTAGAAATGTGATGGATGCTCGTCGTGCTAGAAGACATAATAAAGCACGTTGTAACGTCTGGTACTGGCCGGTAACTCTTGTAGCCTTTCCTATTCCATCAGATTCCCCCCCCCCCCCTCTCTGCAACCTAAATTTCCGTTCAATATACGTACATTTTCATGAGTTTTGTTTTCTTTTGTTCTTTTTCCTTTCTGTATTTAAAATATTGTGTTTTCCAGGTAGTGTGCTGCTTTTGAATTTTGAAAAGGGGTTGAAACCGTTCAGTCTCACCTTATCTCCCAGAAGGCCGAGAAAGGGTTTTGCATTTCAGGTCAACTACCGTTTGCATAACAAAAGGAGAAGAAGAAAGGGAAAGGCTTGCAAATTTATTTTGTTAATTAGTTGCATTAATTTTAATTAATTAGTCTTCTCCATGAGATGTATATACGATTTTTTTTTTTTTTTTTTTTTTTTTTTAAGAAAAAAGATATATAAAGAGGATACATAATTAATTTGCATGGCATATTTTCTTCCTTTCAATAACTTTGCCTCTTTTGGTTTTCATTGTTGAAATTAATATCTCCTGTTCCTACATATGCATTTTAATTATAATGTCACCTAACTTTGTCCAAATAAATTTATTATATATGCTCTCTCCTACGTAGCAAACCCAAATCAAGAGAAATTCACCATCCAATGAAAATGATGGACGGTTACATCTCATCCCAGTCCGTTTAATTTGAATATATATATATATACTATATATATATACTTTTTATTTTAAAAAGAAAAAGAAGAAGAAATAATTAAAAAAATAAAAAATCTAAAGTTTGAGGAGAGGGCGGGTGACTCTGACGCTTCATCTTCCATTCCAATATCCCTCTAAATTAATATAATCAATAAAAAATGAATACATGTTTAGATGGAGTGTTCTAAACTAAAATTAATGGCAATAATTTGAGATCTAAAATTCTATGGATCGACAAAAATTGGGCTTCTCACTTGAATTAATACCATTATTTTTTAGGTCCACTATATCTTCATCTTTGTAAATTAACAAAGGTAAACGAGGAGAAATTAGTTCAATTTATAATTAATAACGAGTTTATTTGAATTTCAAAGAATGCCTTCATTTTTTTATTTTCAACCAATCAATAAAAAGCTTGATGAGTCTTAGACTATACACACAACAAAGAATATCCATTCTTAATTCTCAAATCCCCATCCGACCGTTCAAAGGTCAGAACTTAAAAGCCACACCTTCTAATCAAAATTCCAAACTTTAGACGCTCATTAAATCATGATGAATACCCTTTTTTGAGTCACAAACATATATCCACAATCATTTACTACGAAATTTACAAAGCAGAAGATCACATGTACTCACAAAATAATATTCATGAAGAATTAATTAATAAGGTAATTATATTGGTTAGACATTCGTTGCTTTTTAAAGTCTTTCGTTGAATCATTGGGCTATTTCTTACAACAAAAAAGTCTTTTAATATAGGGTTATTACATGTACCATGTCTTAGCTTAATCTTAATCTTATGATTAAGCGTTGAGCAAGCAAGCCCTGCTTTGCAATTTTCACGTGGTAGTCACGTGGCAAACAAGAAAAAAGCCATCACTCACGTGGGTATCACGTGCATTGTTAATGTCTCCAGGATTTTTTCTACTTTTGATTTCATTTTTAAAAATGTTCTCTATCCTTTCGTCTCGATATCGTTCTTTAATATTTGATTATTATTATTATTATATCCCTCCGTTAGTATTTTGGCCCAATAGCATTAAATCTTACGTAGAGTTAAGTTCACATGATTGTGACAAGTATGAAATTATTTTATTTTATTTTTACCAAACGAAAATAAATAATTTTTGAAAAGGAAAAAAAAAAACGCTAGATAAAAAGAGCTATATAAATAGTAAAAAAAAAAAAAAAAACCCTAATTCTCTCTCTATTATCTTTAATTTCTGTTCTTAGTCGATCGATTCACTTCCTCTCTTCTCATCCCTTTCTTTTGTCAGCCCATATGATAGGCCTGAGAGATGAGAAAACAATTAGGCTAGAGAAGAGAGAATTGAGGGGTGTTAGACCATTTATATAGCTCTTTTTTAAGATTTCTTTTCTTGCCAGCGTTTTTTCATTTACCAGAATTGGTTTATTTTCATTAAGTAAAAATAAAACGAAATTATTTGACATGTATCACAATTCTATGAATTTAACATTAAAATTCAACGCAGTTGATTCAAAATATTAACATAATAGCTTAATAAAAATAAAAATCAAACTTTGAGGAATGAGATTAAAACAAAAACAGCCTTTTAAAGATGAAATCGAAAGTAAAAGAGTTTCTACAAGCATTAACTCGAAAAACAATATATGAAGCTACAAAATCACAGACCATGCAGAAAGAGAGCGACACAGTGATGGGTCCGAGTACCCAGTGAACGAAATTAACCTTTGCATGCAAAATTACAACAAAGTCGTACAACAGGATGACGTTAGATCAAAATAGACACAGAGGATCTGTATCTGTCAATCTCAGACTCCTGAAATTCGCAGGAGGGTTCTGATCTGATTTGCTTCATCCAAATATTTTTATAATTTTTCCTTTTAATATCCCAATTTGTACCTTCAGCGCTTTCATTTTTGGTTATTCATTAGAATAACGCAACTAGTACCACTGTTCAAAAAAAAAAAAATGTAGCTTTCGTAGCCTTAATGTACTAATCAATTTAGGGCAAACTTCATTTTTGTCCCTAAAGATTCGTCAGAGTTCCACTTATATCCTTATAGTTCAAAATTTCCCAATACCCTTATATTATCTAGAAAGTTCCAATGTTACACCTACCCTTTACTAAGCTGCTTTTTTTAATTTGGTTTTTGGTTTTTTTTTTTTATAGGTTTCTTAAGTAATTTTGTGATATATTATAACATGAATAGAGATTTTAGAGGAAAATGTGATAAAAATAAGAAAAATTATAATAAACATATGCAAAAAAAAAGGGGGTGGGGTGAGAATTATGTTAGTTATTTAGTAATAAAGGGATAATTGGAAGTTTGAAAGAACTATAGGGGTAAGATTGTGAAACTTTAAACTATAGAGGTTAGAAGTACAAGAGTGATTACAAGCGTCAAAATTTGGTTTACCCAATTTAATAATAAAATTCACACTCCAAGAAAAAAAATCGAGTCAATAATAAATTAGTCCCTCTCCCTTCAAGACAGAAATTAATTAGTCTCTCTAGTTTTAACAACTAATTATTTAATCATTTTTTTATTTTTCAATTTATTTTGTCTTTTTAAGAACTAAAAAAGAAATAAAAATTTATTAAAAACATGAAAAGATTGATGAGAAAAAAAATTATAAAATAAAAATATTAAATTAGTCATGGTCAACACTATTTAAAAGGACTAAATAATTATTTTTTTGAAATCAGAAAACTAATTAAATTGTTTCTAGAAACGAGAGGTACTAATTTATAATTTATTTGGAAAAAGTCATACTGGTACATTTGCAAAAACAAGAGACGTGAGGTGTCATGTTTGAGTTGCCCTTTGTCAATTCATCCGGATATAAAAAACAACAACAGCAACAAAATCAAACAGTGGAACATGGGATGAAATACAATGTTCATATATTTTTCTTTCCAGCAACATTCACGAGTAAATTATAAATTAATTCCTTAGTTTTGCACCACGAATTAAATAGTTTTTTTTTTAGTTTTAAAAACTAATTAATTAATTTTTACTTTTTAAAATCTATTTGTGACTTAATTTTTTTCCTCATTTCATTTATTTTCCAATTTATTTTTTAAAATAAAAAAGAAAAATAAAAAATGAAGTAGATAATATAAAAAATTGATTAGAAAAAAAATATTTTTTAGTATAAAATAATATTAAATTATGTTTGATCAACACTGACCAAAGGACTAATTATTAAAATTAGAGGGACCGTTTAATTTTGCAAACCTAGAGAGACTGATTTATAATTTACTCAAATTCACATGCTATTTTTTTTTTTTCCCTTTCTGTCATCTTTACACACTTATGTAATTCATGACTGAGCTATCAGGTAAAAAAAAAAAAAAAAAAGGGTAAAATATGAGGTGAAAAACATTTATGTTTCTTTTCTTTCTTTCTTTCTTTTTTTTTCACAGCAGCACTGATGATGAGAGAACAGCTTCCAGAAACTGTTTCTTTTTCCTTTTATTTCCCTCTTTTGGGTCACCATCACCTATTTGTTTTAATTTGCATACGCAATGCTACGGTGTTTGCTGTTAAATTGGAGGCCATGATACGCCTGGACTTCTGTGCCGATGCACGACTGCTCCTATCAAAGATGCTCCCTGGTCCTTATTGTGCCTTTTTTTTCCCATTTTTTTCATTGTTTTCTCTTTCGTCTTGTATTAATCTCTTCTTGTCTTTTTGTGATTCTTCTTTGTTTTACCCTTCGTCGTCTCTGCACAATTTTCCGGTTGCACGTCGTACATTATTTGTTTTTTTAAAAATGAGGCTCTCAAGACAATGCTGTACACAATTCTGTCATGGGCAGAGTGCTTTTAGAACATGGTTAATAATGATGGAAATTTTTAATAATAGGCAACAGTACCATTTACCTCTTGGACTCACCTTGATTGGTTTCACTGGAACTTAATTTCGTATCATAATTAACCATAATTGACTATAATTACTTTAGTAAGTTTTCAGTGGAAGTAGGATGCTTAGGTTGGCCATTCAAGTGTGAGAGCACTGGTTCTTAATGATAGGTTTTGCCAGTTGCCATCAAGTTATCATGATTCACTTCCTAGATATCAGATTCATTTCAAATGCCGAACCCTGTTTTACTCCAATTCTGTCTTGCTCGCTAATCAATAGAATTCTTAAGAGCGAACAAGTGCAATAATTAAGTATACTATTGTGTGAATGAGTACTACAATTTAACTCTAATGTTGCGATCTGTAACAACTGAAATTCAGCATATTTACATCTAACAAAATACCAAAACTCATTTCAGTAACTATGTTTGTACAGGTAGTCATAATTTCCCAACATTCAGAATGACAAGCTTCGACTTCTCTTCTCCCTTGTATCTCTTTTATGGCTCGAGCACCTCATTGTTTTCTCAAGCAGCTCCTGCTTTGTTATCCATAGGAAAATTAATGATATAAATGAATGAAATAGATTATGAAATGTATTATGGTAATAAGATATTATAACAACAACAGTATAGTCATGTTTGTGGATCTACTCTATTTGACTAATCTGCATTGTAGATGCGTAGTCGCTTTTTACTTTTGCAGTTCATCAAAGGATTTGAATCCTTTCTAGCAAGAATTAAAACAAACATTACAGTTCCTTTAAGCACAAGGTATAAATGGAAAAATTTCAACACTAGCTTTACTCAAGGAATCATTCTATGTGCAGCCACTCTCACCGTCAGTATAAAATACAGCTGATGAAACCAAGGGGCGCAAAATTTAACACTACCCCTCTTATTGCTAATACTCTTTGTAGCATTATTTTGTGGCTTTCTTTTTTGATTTTTTACTGCTTAGCCAGCTGCTTTTCGAAATTTAGACCACCTGATGTTTCAAGAAATTAAACTAAAGGGGCTTTGAGCAGTGTAATTAAGGTTTTCTGTTCAATTTCGTTTTTTTAAGTTCAGCAGATCTGAGCAACCCTTCTTGAAGTTCCCTCATTTGTATTAGGCTGCTACTTGTGTTTTCATCTTTTCATTTGGCAATCACTTCACACGTCCAAGTCCAATATTACATCAGCACATCAAAGAAAATTACATAATGTCATACTCAAGTCTACGATGCCCCATCTAAAGCTGTTTCTGATGATCATCAGGCTGTCTGCAGAAGATGGGGATCTATGGAAATTGACTCATGATCTTTTGTTCTGCTATATTATGTTTTCTCAATCAGTTTGCTTCTCTCATTGCGATTGCAACATGTTCTTTTCATTATTTGTAAGCAGTTTCTCATAGTTTGTTCAATGAAATTTATTTTCATCCTTCGAAAAAAAAAAAAAAAAAATTCTATGAGGTCCCCTACAAAACAGTCCAATACCGATAGTTATCATTGCGAATTCCAACCTACATATTGCAGGTTCCAATCCCAGCATGGGTAGGTAAGAGTAGAGAACAAGACAGAGATGCTTCCCACTGTGTAAGCCAAGGCTTCATTAGCCTTCCAATAAACCAGAAATGAGAAAGAGAACCTATCAATGTGCAAGTTAATATTGAATCGCACCTGTGATTCACATCAGACAAGAACAGGACTTTGTTCTAGCAATTCTTTCCCTGTGATGCCATCCTTCAAATTTTTAAAATAGATGTTGTAATCCTTCTCAGGCGGTGGATTTTCTGGATCTACTGTGAATGGTTCACTGAAAGGAATCACGCTTGTGACCTGCAAAAGAAGCATATGTGAACAATGCTCTCCAAAGATCTATTCAGGCAAAAGCATACAGAAACAGAACAGAAACATATTTATTTCATAACTACAGCAATGATAAACTGAGAACCAAGATGAATCATTGAGGAGACGATATTTCAAAAAGAAAAAAAACTAACCATGCAATCATTAGAACAGTTTTCAACTTCAATGATGTGAATAGAAGACTTTTCACTCTGTATTCAAACTTTTTGAAAATAATTTCTCCATTTCATCTTGATGTGCAATCGAAAACACATTTAGCACCAAAAAGAAATAATGAGCCAACTTAAATCACAATTAATGGATCCTAGTCTAGCATCCAGTAGGTTGACAATTCGGAGAAGAGAAGTTGGGGGCACCCACAAAATTTCCAAATCTAAAATGGTAGACGGAAGCAATAACTGGATGGATAACAGTTGAATGCAAAGTGCAAATGCAGCTAGGATCCATTCCTTTACTTTTCCTCATATAGTCTGATAGTCATGTACAATATTATTTGCAGAAAGGCGATATTGATTTGTGTCAAAATTCTAATTGCCAGGCTGACTTACTATGATCAATGTATTAACAACAAAATAAGCATAACAAATTTTATTCAGTAATTTCCCCATTGATGAGTATTAACAGAAACTGCCTGAGTGTTTAAAGTGGAACGATAAGAAACTAATCCTGACATATGCATGACAGAGAGAGTACCACCTCAAATGTCTTGTCACATACATATGGGCTCTCCAAGGCAGCAATGCATATCCGAGCAACCTCTTCCCTCGATATTTTACCCTGTATATATCAGATAAATAGTTATGGGAAACAAAATCTTGACCAATAATTTGTCCTTCAAGTTACAGCTGAATTTTAAAGCAACTTCCTGCTGATAAAAGTATTCCAGTTCTATCATTTGATATAATCAATTAAGATGTACAGAAAGAGACAACTCATTAAAGCATCGGACTTTCAAGCGTGAGATTTTCAAATTATGAAATGGGTGGATACAGATTTAGGGCAAGGAAGAAAACGATCCCTATTATAACGCAAATGGGGCCCTGATGCCTTGACACATGCAGGCACTAACACAGATCCGAAAAATATATAACAGAAAACAAAGGTGCAAATTCCTTTTTTGTGCTTTACCGTTATATTGTCTCCTTGATCGAAAATGAGATCTGCTCCAGCAGGCTCCTCAGTTAAAGCACAAGGTCTAACAATTGCATATGGGATACCACTTTCACGTATCAAATCTTCTCCCTGTCAGAAAGCTGGCTACTGTAAGAAATTCAATAGAACTGAATATAGAATTTTAATTTCTATCTAAACAGTCGAAATAAAGAAAAATATAATTCAAGCAGAAATTAATGCACACTGCCATTGTTTGAGGTATTGATAATAGGTGCTGTAGAATGCTTAGTAAATTGGCCATCTTTGATTTCACACTTCATTTTCTAAGCCTCCTTCTTCTTCTAATTCCCTTTTTCTCAGAATAAACTCGATCAAACTTTAATTTTAACCTGTTTTAGGTGCAATAGATTAATACTGCCCCTAAAATTCCATCTTTTTCCAACTCAAATTCTCTATAAGATGCTAATAAATCAGATCTATTTGCTTATTCACCTCAAGTTATTCTTTTGAGATCTTATGTATCTTTCATCCCTTCTACTTGAATGAAATCATTTTTCTGTACTGCTGCATACACAGACCAATATGGTACACAGGAAAAATCCTTGAGACTGCCTTCGCTCACCTTGCCATCAACATTGCCACCTATGACCTTTCACAAAGTATTTGTTTCTTATTGTAACTGTTCTTTATTTATACAGGTCAAAATGTATGAAGCACACTAGCAATAAAAATCTACAGAACTGTCATGGCCGAGTTCTTGTAATTTTGGGTCTACACAAATCATAACAAAATCACTGCAAAGTTCCTTAATTCAGCACAGTGATTATTCATAGAGTACACCAATTCAACATCAGCATCTGGAAATAAAAGGCAGGCTACTTGTGCCTTCCAACCAAATGCTTTGCTAGAAAAGAAGGAATTGGCTAGATCCCTGTACACAGAATGTGATTTCCTACGCTTATTTTCACATTGATCAAAACTACAATCCCCAACAAAGGCATGCAGGAAGTACACATTTTTCCCTACAATATAATTCCTGCTATGCTTAAGTGCTCCTTCTTGTAAATGCACTTTGTTAGCAGCAACGCAATCTTAAATAACTTCAAACTACTAGGCCAATGGTTTGATTCTGTATGCACATGCATGCAAAATTCATTTCTAAAACCTTCTTTTCCCTTCAAGTTTAAACTCTTATTCATAATGAAGGCATTCGATATCTGCATCTTTTCCCTAAAATATATACAAATTCCCAGTATGATCCATTTTCATTTTTCTAATCATCACCACCTCAACATCAGATTCGTCAATTCTCTTTTCTACCTATTCTTAATATTGAGCCTTCTCTTTCCAAGTCCTATAATGGGAGAAAGCTTTGATCCCATCAACCATTTAAGAAAATGTTATGTGTCTCAATTTTCAATTCAGATTGCAGAAGTCCCAACACTACATAAGCTGAAGTGCAGTGCCAAAATATTCATTAGACTATCAAGCTCTTTTCAGGAATGTAATCTGCAAACGTGTAAGCATCCTGTGCACAAATAATAACCAACCTTCAACTTGAATGTGAGGATAAAACCTAGTTCCTTGTTCAAGCGGACAGCAGGAGGTTGTTTGCTGAGATCAAGACCAGGTCGATCTGGTCTGGTAACTCCTGCAGAGCTCACATGCACAAACCTACAAGGGACAGTGAAATGATAGAATTGAATTTTTCAAATGATCAATGAAATTCAGGTAGTTAGAAAGAGTAAATAAAATGGAACCAAATGCTAAACCTGGGAGTTACAGGATCCTTGATAAATGTCCTTATGCTTGATACAGGAAGCTGAAATGGTCCTTCTAAAAAAGTTGGATTCAATTTCCCATCGTACTCAAACTTGCTGAACATAAGCTGAAATAATTTCTAAATTATTAACCAGATATAGGGAACTGGTGACTTTGAAAGTAGATATAACTTAATGATGGCAGCATACCTGCAGTGAGACAATGCTACTTGGATCAAAAGGGGGACCATCTGGTACAGTTCGAGCTCGGAATACAGGGATCAAAGAAGAAAAAGGCAGGCGTATCTGTAAAAGTAGTTTGAATTGAGAAGAAGTTGTTTAACACGTCCAATTTAAAAGGAGGTTATGATGTCACATACTGATTGCCATTGACCTTCTGCAGTGTCAAAGCTTGCTGTATAGCCAACAGTGTCCCAATCACGACTAGTGCGAACAATAAATTTATACCGACGTCCATCACCTTTAAGGCGTAGCTCCAAACCATCATATGCAGAAAGATCCTCAGGTGCTGAAGAATTCTGAAAAGAAGTCCAAGTGGTTTAAATTCCTTAACAAGCTTCACTGACTTAACAGGAACACATCCATCACTATTTCCCACTAACTTTTCCATTTTAACCATGATTAGGCTAATGTCAATGCTTAACTGAAGCAGAGACTTATATAGCCCATATATTCTAAAGTTCAAAACTTTTCCTATGTAGCAAAGGCTAATTTTTAAAATAACAGCATTGTGCAAACCTCAGCCCCCCCAGCACCTTTCCGGAATCATTTGTGTTTCACTTATGTTCCCCCTCATATTGGTTATGGCTAACAAAAATTGCAGAAACAGAAGGGTGTTCATTGTAAGTACATCAAATGGCCAATGTAATTTAACCTTATTATATTTTTATCCTTAGGAAAACAATAAAACACAACATAAGAAAAAATATAACTTAAAGAGTCAAGAGGAAGACAAGTAGCTCCAATAGAACTGCTGCTTTATATTTTAGAATAAAAACAAAACATGTTTATAGATTATCATGTTCAAATCAAACAGGGAGATAAAAATCATTTAACAGGAAATGATGAAATAGAAAAAGTGGCCAAGGCACAGCAAAAAGTTCATAGCACAGCAACAGCAACAAGTCAGGATAAAGTTCTGGTAATTACCTTAGTTCTGATACTCGTGAAGCCACCATTGTTCGTAGTTGAAACAATGCCTGATGAGATACAAACATGCCACATGAAAGAGAGGGAGATAAACAAACAGTATGTTTGATTAAATTGAAACACTGAAGCAAGAGTGTTTAACCACAACATACCTTTAAACACCCCAGTTGGTCCACCATTTTCCCCTCCAGTTGTATCAATTAAAAATGTGCTTTCACTAACTCCTCCCATCACAACATCATCTAAAGCACCCCAAGCGAGATCTCTAAAACCATTATCTGCAAAATGCAAATTGGAGAAGGAATCTCATCTACAAAACACTCATTCATCTAATAAATAATCAAAATGTGCACAGTATATTTGATTCAAAGTACAAGTACTCATGCTCACTAGCCACCATTTCCAACACAAGTTTTTGAGTAGTTTGGTTGAACAATGAGGATCATGGAACAGGAGTTATCAAGTAAGTGTTTCTGCAAAACTTCCACGGCACTTGTGCAAATAGATCAAAAATGTAATATAAAATATTCATGCTACAAATTAACAAGTCCATGCCAAGTGTCATCCATATTGCTTCCCCGTCATGCATGCACTTGTTTAGCACAATACCTCAACTCCAAACCCTCCCAATAAATGTAGAGACAAAGAAAGGAAACATTAGCATATCTGTTGATTTTGAATCTAACTTGCATGCTACAGGATTAAGTTATGCCAGTATGGAGCATAAAAACAGCACCTTCACATCCAAATAGCAGTACCCCATTTCGAAGGCCAACACTCCCCTTTACAGCATTAATCAAATTTCTCATCCCGACAAACTCCACCATTTCAGGTGAATCACCTTTAATCTGGTTTCATCAATAAAACCAAAAAATTACAGTTATTAGCATCACAAGTTTGACGCCTACAGCATAAATGGGAAAGCAAAAGAAGATGTGAAATGAACTTAACACAGGAGATATTCAGCACATACCTCTGGTTCGAAGAACTTGATTCCCTGTACCACATTAAAATTGAGAGTCAGATGCAATCGGAAAAAGAGAGCAAATCAAAAGTAACACTTAAGATGGTCGAAACGAAGTACATAGTCATCACAAAAACAATATTTAAAACCATACTTGACTATATTTTGCCCTTTCTGGGGTGTCGCCTTCCTTTGGGCCAATAATGACAGAAGCAGCATTTATAACTTTCCTCACTCCTTTGAAGTACTCAGGCAGCAAAGTGCTCTCTTTAGTAATGTCTCCAATGATCTGACAGCTCAAGAAAAAAAGAACAAGAAGAAAAGAAAACAATGGCCAAGCAAGAAAAAGATTAGGTTTTTATGAAGTTTAGACGTTAAACGCAATTATATAGAAGCAATATTCCAACAAGCAGTCAAATCAGAGAACCAATCATCTTACACCATAAGAAAGATCGCAACTCATGCACAAAGTTTTCAACACAACATTCGCAATCCATTTGATATATAAAATGCAGCTTCTACGAGAATTTCATTTCATTCTACAGTAATTGGTTTGAAGCATGCATCCCTTCCCTAATGCTTAAAGATCAGTCTCTCTCACCATTCTTGGACATCAAATGTTCATCTTTCATCAGATTCATTATTTGGTGTATCAGGTAGGATCTAATTATTAGAAGAGCAATTGTCCTAAAACTCTGATTTCATAAATTCTATGATCATTAAGCATTCCATGAAAAAAAAATGATATTCTAATACGCATTTTGGATGAGGTGGCAAATTTTATCAACTAGAAATCAGATAAGGGTATGTGATAAGTTGAATCATGATACTTGTAAGTTGTGACCATGACATGGCCTGTAGAGACAGCCAACTCACCAAGTCAATATCTGGTCCTAGTATCTTTCTTGCCTTTTCTTCATTTCTGACCTGAGAGAAGTTTGATACAGAAACAAACATAAGTGGAAGGAAGCATAAACTGTTTCTTTCTCTTTTCTATTCATGGATGTTTCTACAAAAATCTGGGGTGAGCTAAGTCGGGAACAAAAAAAAAAAAAAAAAAGAATGAAACTTAAACATGGTAAAAGAAATATACCAATACTCGGATGGGCAATCCCTTCTTCCGCAAGATGTCAACTACTCTTCTCCCAACACCACCTGTTGCTCCAACAACCAAGACAATACCGGAACTTGCCATTGACTTCTTGGGTTCGCTAGGTGATGGACCGGATAGTTTCTCAATTAAAAACTCAAAGAACTTCATAGATAATGAGTTACTGTTAGTTGAGGCTTTAAAACAGTTTCTTAGTTTGATGAGATCAAAACTCCAATAGAAAACAAAATCCAAACCTTAGCAGGAGATGGCGGTCCATTGAAGAAATACAAAGTTTTCACAAACCTGCCGAAGTCCCAACCCTGCTTTCCAGCTTCCGCTAATATGGCCCCCCTGTATGTTTTACGAGCTGATTTTTTCCTATACAGCAGTCTGTCATTAAGTTGAAGAAATGGTTTAGGAAGTGGAGAGGACAGCAACCGAGAATGAACTGAAGTTTCAGACAATTTGTTGCAAACAGGTGATGAAGAACCCTGCAGTGTCAATTGATTATGTTATAGAAGTGAAACCAATTTTCAATCCAAACAACAACTAAAACAAAAAGGACAAAATTCTGCCATGGTCATGCTGCAATATCGGTTCAAAAGCCATAAAAACCACAACAAAGTAGGACAAAATGCTGCCATGTACACTATTTTATACAATGCATCAACTTATTATTGTTATTATTTTACTTTTATATTCAAGTCTAAGAAGCAATTACTGAGTACCTATGAATCCAACATAACTTCCCACCACACAGTAAATAAACAAAAATTAGAAACCCAATTTTCTAAAAGCTATATTAGACCCTTCTCGTAAGAAAACAATGATCAATAATATCAGAAGTTAAATAAAACACCATCAAAAGAATTAAAGGGATTGCCAAACTTATGAAGCTCAGTTTAACTAAAAAGCATGCAAGAACAAATCAAGAATCACCATGATCATGTGGGACACATTTACAAGAACACCACCCTCATCTGTATCATATCATCGTACCTGAAGGTTAAGGATAGAAGAACTGCATGGTGATGATAGCTTAGTAGCGTAACAGCACTCCATTTGTTTAGTGATAGAAACAGTACAGTTTCACAGAAGTTTGTAGAAGTTCTAATGATGTCGGGTTGTTGATAGTCCTGTTGTTTGTATTATTACAAGGCTTAATATCCGCCACACACTTCCACTTTCTGGCAAATTCAACTGTCAGTTTTGGAAGTTGAAAAGGCATCATTTATGCTGTAATGGGCTGAATCTGTCACCACGGGCTTTTGTTTGACTCATTATGGTGGCCTAGGCTTTAATTATTTTCTGACAATTTGTAGGCTCAGAGCCTGCTATGTGCACAAATACTGATCTATCAAGCAAAGGAATAGCCATGCCAAGCTAGGCCCAGCTAGCCTCAGTGTGAATTGTCGACAGATAAAACAGAAGTGTGAATTGGTAACAGAGATGCAAGATCCAAGATCAAATCATTAATTCTTGTTGTGCCAAAGTTTCACACTTGGAGGTGCTAGGAGTCGCGGGCTCTTGGTTTCGTGTCTGTCATAATTACAATTACAACTACAATTATAATTATATCGAAGGTCAGTAATATATATATATATATATATTGACCACCTGTAATTCCTTTTAAAATTAGTATTAAAAAGAAAAAATAGATACGTTTACCTCATTGAAATGCAAAACAAAACATATAAAAGGGCAGTTGATTTGAAAAAAATGTAAATTGTAAGTCATTTAATTATGTGTTTTTCAGAAAGATTGCCTGCTAGCGGCCAAATTTGACCCCAAAGAGGGAGCTAGTGTCCTGCTATAAATCCAATAATCTCTACTGATTCACGCATATACTCGCATGAGAAACCCGCTTCCATTCACCCTTACAAAGGCAATTGAAGTTGAGTCACAAATTTTCAGGTTCCTTCATCAGAAATTCATAGACTATAATTTATATTGAAAATTGAATGTATAAATGGACTAATCACGCACTTGAATAAAACGTTATGTCTTTTATATCCACATATATTTGGAAATATCTCACATTTGTATTAATCTAACTAAGTATACCACTTTTTAAAAAAATCAGCAGTCAATTCAAACTTGAAATCTTAAACCAACCAACCAGTACCAAAAGTGGAAGTATGTCACGTGTATATGAAAAAAAGAACAAATTGATTTTTATTTTTTTTTCTCACAAAAAGATCAAAGTAAAGTGATAATGCATTATTCATCACACGAAAGTACATATAGAGCGGCATCTTCTAGACTAAATTAAACATATGCATTTTGCATTCATGTGGAGTATTTGTGTCTCTCTTGTCAATTCAGAAGGGAGAAGAAATATTGGATAATTCTTGTCTCGAGGCAGACACCTGATCTGTTGACATGAATGGATGATTCAAGCTCCCTTTGTAGACATTCGGCCCTGCAAATTCTTCTTTAAACTCAGTAGACCATTTCATGCCGACAATTAACGTAGCCAATCCCAGACAGTCTAACCTTATTTCCCGTGGCTGACAAGAAGGGTTTATTTTTTCCACATCGTGCTAGTAATTTCATGTACTTTTTTATGTAAATTGAGTCAACAATTTCGACCATACAACAGTTGTCTTTGTCATGTGTTAGTACTCATGGCACCTTCATTTGTTTACTTTTGTTGTTGTTGTTGTTATACTTTGTATAAGATGGCAAATGTAATCCACAAGGCTGGAGCCATAAAATCTAGCTAGGGATAATAATTTGTTTTGATTTCTTTACCATTTGTAATTCAATTAATGCGATCCAAAAAATCCAGCTATTAATTGTTCATCAATAGTAAATTTTGTTCACTCAAGCACCGACATGTATGGAGATAGGCTTAAATTTATAATTGCAATATATTTTTTTATATTATACTATAATTATAAATTTTAAGTAAATCCAAAGGAAATTATTATTATACTTAAAAATGAAAAATATATTTTTTCATACTTGTAAATATTTCTTCTAAAATAAAATATTTAATAACAATTAGCATAGATGCTTTTGAAAACTTTTCTTAAGAAATTGTATGAATTAATAAAAATAAAAGTATACGATAATCATTCTTTTTAATCTATTAAACAAAAATTTCAGCATATATATATATATATATATATATATATATATATAACTCCAACAAGTTTTTTTATTATTATTATAATTAGAAAAGAAGGGTATACTGAAACTTGTTGAAGGTTTTTTTTCTTAAGGAAAAGGTAATTGTAAGTTTTCAAATGTATTATTAGGATATTGTTGGAAGTATAATAAAATATGAAATTATTTCAGAAAAAAAAATCTGAAAACTGAATTCATTTATATAATACAAAAATGATATAACCAATTGATTATTCATTTTTCAAAAGTTAACTTCTTACTTTTCCCAATCGTATTCAACAGGGATCTATGTGTACACAATCTAGCTAGAGATACCATTTCATTTTTCTTTTTTCTTTTTTTTTATAGAAGACATAATATTTGTTTTGATTCATTTATAGGTGTAATCCAATTAATTCGATGAAAAATCCAATTATTACTTATCTATCAATAAAAAATTTGGTTCCCGGAAGCACCGGTGGAACATGCACAGTAATAGGCGTGCATGTTCAAGCCCTTAGATCTTGAATGCTACAAAGAGAGAAGGGATTAAAACCCACGAGTTAAAGGAGGCAACCGGACCTACAAATTAAAAAAAAAAAAAAAAAAGTTGGTCTTTGAAATAGAATATACTGAAAGAAAATCAATAGACCCATAAGGATTCTGTCATAAGAAATCATGCACTAATACTTTTTGTTATCTCATCTTCTTAGAGGGACAAAATTGAAATGTTGGCTTCCCCATTTCTTGAGGGCTGATTTGAGAGTAGTTGTTGACTTTTCTGTCAAAAAAACAAGGGATATTCTGAGAGATCAAATAAAATCAACTATGATATGTCCGACCAAACATGTCCATGTGACAAATTATTATTTAACGGAAGTAATGTTACAATATTAATATTATTTAGTAGCATTGTGAGATTTCTAATAATATCTTAATGATAAAAGCTTTTTTCCTCTGAATGTAAAAGTTTACGATGATATCTATATTTACGATGTTGCAAACCTTTTAATCTTTAATTTGTTTTGTATTCTATTACATACAAATTTGTATCACTTTATTTATTTATTTTCTCTTTTGAGAAAGTAATGATCTTATCTTAATTGAAATGATTCGCACACGTTGAGATCATCGTTTTCAATACGTGTAAATTAAATGCCATGGATTGAATATGAAGTCAATTAGCTAATTAACAACCTTTCCAAATTAATTTGTTTTAGAGCGATGGAGGTCCCAATTTATTTAATTTGTCAACGCAATTGTTTAATTATAATACTAATTAATATTTTGCTTGACTTTAGATTAAATATTATTGAAGAAGTTTTAATTAGTTGCTAGTTAAGGATGGTAGTTAATGAGTAATATTAGTTCACATCCTCGATATTCCTTGGACTTTTAGGTACCATGAACTAGGACATGCAAATTAAGTTGTTTGCTGGTTAGATTGTTGCTCTCCGTGTTTTATGGTTAGATAATTATCTCAAAAAAATTCTCTTAGACTAATGCTAACCATGTTGCAATTGCGCAAGGCATTATTGTTTTCAGGTATTAGGGCGGTTGGTAGATGCATCATCTCTTGCCTTTGCAAGCTTCCTCGTCTTAATTTTCCTAATACGCGTGGAGAGAGCCCATTTGTCCAATTTCACTGAGTCAATTCGATTCTTTAATTGGATCATTCAAGCAATTGAAACGATCAAACAGGATGGAACTGATTAAAATCGATCAACCAATTGTTTTGAACAAGTGACAAATCATACCCCATGAGTGACATGTCATGCACTCAATGGAAAAACAAGTAGAAACAATACACTCGTGGAGAAATCCAAGTAAATATTTCTTCTTATATCTTGTTTTATAAGAATGTACCATTGGAAGCCAAGTGGATTGGTAAAGACCAAGTAAATATTAATTAATTAATTAATAACTTAAAATAACAAATAAAGTTTCTATTAATTAAATAAATTTGACTGAAGCTAAAATACATGATAACCGTGATAAGACATGGCATATGAGAAAGGTTGACCTTGTAATAGTGTGCTCTATCTACGACTGGAATTTCAACTTTTAATATCATACAGTCGCCAAGCATGAACATATATACTTAATGAATTGTAAAAATGCAGTTGTCGATGTATCTTAAAGAAAAATATACTTTGGGCTAAAATAACCTATTATACATTGGTTGTGCTGATGATTACTAAATAAATAATGCATCTAAAGTAGATAGGTTAAACTATAAAATAGGGCATAATGATTTTTAGCCAATTCATATATACTTGAAATCCCACTTAAGAAATCATGACGTGGACATCTTTATCTATGTAATTAATGAACTTGTACACTCATATAATTCTTGCAGCATGAGATATACAGATATTTTTTAAATATATATTCAAATACTATAATAAGCATGCAGGATAAGAGTAGGCGTGAAAATATTCCAAGGAACAAAACAGTTATTCATGGGTGTGATAATATATTGTTGGCATCTCGCTGGTTTAATTTTACTCACATGATAAGTATAATCGATTATAAAAACATCAAATTGCATCATGATAACTTAATGTTTTAGTCTGAAAAGGATCGACGTTTCTTCATGATCAATCCAACACTGGCTTGTGACTGTGTCCATAAACTTACAAAATTGGAGCTTGTTTTGGCTTTTGTTTATTGGATTTGCAGTGCTTGTCACAGGCCGGTTATGACGGCATCATATGTACACTTTACATGCTAACAACCAACAATGGGTTTGGCATCGTTATAGATAAGATTCAAAAGATAAAAACAACAATTCAGCATTCTTTCAAAAAAAAAAATCATCCAATACATCCTAATACGCACGCACCAATTTCTTTTTTGTTTTAGAGTTTTAACATAGTTGTTGTATTAAATGAGATAATTATATTTTTTACTTACGAAAAAACTACTTACTGTCACAATGTGACATGAAT